GTTTGTTTTTTTGCGGTACGCGGGCCTCTCACTGTTGTGGCCTCTCCCGTTGCGGAGCACAGGCTCCGGACGCGCAGGCTCAGCGGCCATGGCTCACGGGCCCAGCCGCTCCGCGGCATGTGGGATCTTCCCGGACCGGGGCACGAACCCGTGTCCCCTGCATCGGCAGGCGGACTCTCAACCACTGTGCCACCAGGGAAGCCCTGCTGTTTTAATATTCTATTTTTCTTCTTTATTAACCTGCTGCTTGCAGGTTATAGGGGAGATGGAGCCTCCATTTAAGGTCTTGTTCTTCCCAGTCTTGCATATCATGACTTTTGAAATGTGACCCTTAAATAATGTCTATTTGATGAGGGTACCTTTACATGGTTCTCAGCTTCTTTAAACCCCTAATGGTGGTAGCCTGATTTGCTTGGCAACAGGAAAGAGCTTGAGTTAAGCCAGACACAGTATACACACTCACCAAGGCAGATTTAGAAGCCTCACTCAGAGGGAGGGGGTAATATAAGCAATCTGTCAATCCCTCACCAATTGGGAACTCTGCTGGATGGTTCCAGACTACTTTGGCAGTTGCCTTGGATGTTGTTTAGAGTACACAAAACATGCTGTTACTGTATTAATCAAGTCACTATATTTTAAAGGCAACCTGGCATCCTCGACACTATGCCATCTTATCCAGGTGTTGCGGTGGCCACTCTTTTTGTGCACTCAATCTACTGAAGGGTCAGTTTGTAGGGCTTGTACCTAAGCTAGGGCAACAGCTTCCTGATTGCCAAGAGATGTCAGTGTCTGATGAGCTGGAACATGGAAGACAGTGAGGATGGCCTCAGGCTCTTGCAGGTGAACCCAAATGTTTTTCCACATACCCTGACCCCCAAGGGCTTATTTATGATCGTCCACCCCTCGGCTCCCCATTGTTCAAGCCATAGGGTTAACCCCATTAGAAAAGCCCAACAGTCAGTACAAGGGGTTAATGGCCCGAGTTCCGCCAGCCAAACTGCTTGAGGCTAACCCACTGGCTGCTGTGTTTGCAGGCATCTGAATACCAGACATAGAGGGAATGTTTTTCATTCACTTTTTATAGGCTTCAGGGGGCTACCACAGGAATAGAGGGGTGGTATTTGGAGAATCTACATACTCTACAAGGCCTAGTAGTGCCCACATTTTTAGAGACAGTGGGCTGGCAGATAGGGTGCTCCTTTGCTGCAAATAGGCTGCAGCTAAGTTAGAGTGGGGATTTGAGCCATGGCGGAGGTGGGTTGATGGAACATATTTTTAATCCATCCCGATAGGAAGGGAAGTTCTTACCATGATGTGTTGTTCCTTTGTGAGATGCCGTACCTTGAGGAATGCTGTGTACACTGCTAGGGGCTGTTGCTCTGTGGGAGTCTATCAGGTTTCTGCCCCCTTCCAGAATCCTAACTATACTCTCTCCTTCTTTTGTCTCTGCCACAGTGCCTAACTCACACCTTCCAGAATCACCGATACATCTAAATCAAATGGTAGCCCTGCTTGGGTGATGCCCAGAGCTTTAATTTGTTTCATTAGTATTTTTGCCTTCTCAAAGGTGGCTTGCTGCTCTGATCCTCAGCCCCCCATATGCCTTCTTTTTACTAGGAAGTATACGGGACAGAGGCACTGTGCCAGGTGGAATAAAACTCTTCCCAAACCCCCAAATCCCTGCAAACCTTTTCATCTCATTTACATTCTTAGGAGTTTGATAGGCTTGCATCTTATCAATTACAGCTTCTGGGACAGCGCACATCTTACCTGACCAGACAACTTCCAAAACTTCATGGTAGTGCCTAGGCGTTGAATTTTCGCAGGTTCACTGCTTATCCTCTGTCTTGCAGATGTTTCAGCAAAGCCTACAGAGTGTCCTGCAGCAGAGGCAAGTCTTCATGTGAACATTATATTATTAATGCATTGGGCCCATTTTACTGGTGTGAGGAAAAAAGGAAGGACAGATCTTGAATTATCATCCCGTGACATATTGTGGAACTGCGCAGGTAACCTTGAGGAAGTTCTTGAAAGGTCCATGTGAAAGCAAAATGATCTTAGCTATCAGAAACCTTATTTGTAAGATATCTTTCTCATGAGTCTCTTGAAGATGAAGCACTTTTGTAAGAACATTTATGTTAATAACATATATTTATATAAAATAAACCTAAAGAAAGTTTAGCATCAATTTTTATTTGACCAATAATATAAGAAAATTTTGTCCTTTTAGTAGATGAAATAAAATGAAGTTTCAGTTTTACATAAGTATATTATTGACATCGTTTCAGTTTTTCTTTATGTCAGTTAAATAGAGCTCTTAAAAAATAATTTTGGCAATATCCTTCAGAGGTAGAAAAATACCACATATACATAACATATAGCCATAGATATATGTAAACATACACAGAAATTTAAACATAGACCCCACAGTTTTTATTCAAAAACTTTAGCCATGAATCAGGTACCCACTTAAATGGCAAATGCTTTTTATTAGTATTTTTGGGGAAGACTTTTAAGATTTGTATTTGTCCTTGATGAATAACCTTATGGAGGCTGTGGATTAGATTTTGAGCAAGAGAGATTCTATAGCAGTCTGTATTTTAAAAATTCTGTCACCCCGCTTTTTTTCAGGATTTTAAAAATTCTGTCCCCCCTCCCCAGCCTTCTTTCAGTATTTGCCCACTGTGTTGGGCAGTGTTTTAGTTATCTCCTGGGGTGTTTATATTTTAAAGACATGATAAGTTTACAACTTCAAGGGACAGAGAAAGAATGCAAGTTTTCTCCTAGGTGTTTTGGGCTATATTTCTCTATTATTGGAAGTCTAGAGTAATTGTTATTTAAAATTTTCCTTTGTATGGGGGCTCAGATGGCATGGTCTGTTTTATGGTCAATCATCATAATATCCTTCCCCTTGTTCTGTTCACTTTCCCAGGGATTTTACCTCTTAGCATCTTAATCAGGCTTTGTCACAAGCACTTGGACCCTAACCTGTGGCAGCTTGTGCCCTCCTAGTTTTGTAAAACAGTGTGTCAAGTTCTCCAACTGATTATTCTGCTCTTCCACCTTCCTGCCAGCCCTGAGCTAGCAGAGCAGTGGACAACAGCACATCCTTCTCTAACTTCACCTCTTGTTCCAACTTTCTAATTCAGGCTTCAGCTTCCAGTTGGGTATTGGTGGCCAGCCTAGCTGCCCAAGTAGAGGCCAGCCCACTGAAGCAGCCATTCATTTCTCTTCCTTGCCACAGTGCACTCACTGTGTGTAGTTTCTCAAACAAATGTATTAAAGCAGTTGGCATTTTCAGGGCATCCCTGCACTCACTTGGCAGTCCACACACATCTAACACAGAAGCCACCCCTCCACATATAGAGGTCGATGGCCAACTCAGGATTTCCCCCATAGATGTCAGTTTCCCAAGGCCCATTTTGTTGGTCTCCTGGCTGGCTCACCAATTGTTGGTTCACAAACTGACCCCCATACACGGAAGGCAAGGAGAGACAGAAGAAAGAGGCAAAGCACTCCAGACTGGTAGGTGGCAGGTTTAACAAGCAAGGAAACTTACTTAGGAGGCTTGTCTTGGATGGCTACAAGATGAGTAGATTTCTGCACCCTCTCGCCAAATCTTATAAGTTTATATAGAGGCCTTAACTGGGTTCAGTCATGAATACTCTCCAAAGGCTCTCAACAACACATTGTTCTGTCAAAGCTGTATCCTTGAAAACAGCTCCCACTGTGAAGACAGTGGGCAGGACGTACACTTCAAATACATTGGAGGGCATGAAGAGCTTCTGATTGCCCAGGTCCAGGTCTCAGGTCAACTGGAGGTCACGTCCTCTTGGTTACCTCCTCCAACACAATTTCAGATCCAGATTCCAAAGGTAGCTCTTTTTAGCCTATGCTATAGACCTTTATGACTTTACAAAGCCTTTTCCCTGAGCCAGTCTACCCCTGGAATACAGATGTGTGCATAAGTGTTGAAACAAGCTAGAGCTTGTCTAAGCTACTAGGTGCAGGTCTTTCTCTGTTGATTTGTTTATGTTTAGCATCTGTGAGGATCAGGAGGCTGGAGGAGGCAGCATCTGAGGGCACAGACTCCAGCCCTGCCTTGTTGAATATATGGAAGAAGAGAGGGTAACAAAGAAATTCCATCCATATAGATACATATACATTCTGTTTTATAACGCCTTTGATATTTCACCCTCTAGAAGAGTGACAAATAAATGTTCTGGGTAAGCTTTTATTCAGAGGTAGATATATAAAGGTGGTTTAAGTCAAAACGATGTTTGAGAAAGAACAAGATTATATGACAAAAATGGGCATGAATGACAGAACCAGAGACAGAGAAGAAATGGTGCCACTGGAACATTCCAACCATGAATCAAGGATTTAATAGTAAGACATGACAGTTAAGGAGCAGATGAACTGCAAACTTGGTGGATATTCATTATTACATGTTCCTCTGAGATCTTACTATAATATATGGACACTTTATCTTCTCAAATATACAAAGACACAAAGGTAGAAATTTTTCAGATAACTTGGGAGGCTCAAAACTTTCATAAATGATCCAGGGACATCAGATTAAGAGCCACTAGCCTACTGCTGTGCAGCACAAAGGCTAGCCAAGATAGAGATGGACTATTACACAAAGGACAAATTCCTGAAAAATACAACTTTCTTAGTGGATGGTAAAAGCTGGCTCTTCTCTTTGTTAATTAGAATTTTAAGACATGAAAAGAAACCTGGTTTGCTTTTGCCAGTTTATTATCCAAATAAGAGAACATAGGACTCCTAAGCTTTCAGAGCTGCCATGGCTCCTATTCTCCAGAGCATCCTCCATCCCTCTTGGTAAGGACACCCAGCTAGGGAAAATAGAGATCTTGGAGCATCTTTTAGCCCCACATCCTCCAGCTCCACACACAACATCTTCTCTATAGATGTGGCAACCCTCCCAGGTTGGGTGAGGAAAACCTCACTTAAAACCAAGAGAATGGGCAAATGTCAGAGGTAGGGACTAGTATGTCCTCAGAGCAATCATAACCTGGAGAGCAGGAGAGCTTATTCCTGCAAACTTTGGCAAAAGGGACTGGACAGTCAATTGCCACTGAAAGAGGCATCTGATAGATTTCTGTCTTATGGTGCCATAGTACCCAGAGGTTCAAAAGAATGAAGAGGAGGGGAACTCATGAAACTATTTATACACTAGGGGGTGAAGGTTCTGCAATTAGCATAGGAAGGACTTTTCAAACTTTAAATCTTGCAATGCTCTTGAGAAATGTTGTGAATGTTTACCTGTCTTGCCTCCACGTCTCCAGAATGGAGGAGATTGCCAGGAGAATGGGAAGAGTCATGAAGGCAATGAGTCAATTCTCTTGACAGCAGACCTTGTTTGGCAGGTCTATCATACCCACTGGAGCAGAGAGACTGTGGAGCTTCAGGGAAAAGATCCAATTAAATGTGAAATAACCTCCTCTCAGGTTCTAGGGAAATTTGAGAGAGAAGTAATCTTTCCCAGGATTTCTAGGAATACTGCAGGTGGCAGACTTTACGAGTGATATGTCCAGTCTCTATTGGTGCTTTCCCTACAATGGTCTCCTGTCCTCCACCTAACCCAGGTCACTGATGCTGACATAGAAATATTTTCAAAATCTTCCTTTTCCCTTTGGAGTGGTATCTCAAGGTCTAGTACAGAATGTGAAGGGTCAGCCTGGAATCTGTGGTACCTTTGGCCAGTAGGTGATGTATTCTAGGTTGTATTCTAGATCTGGCCATTAGCCTAAAGTAAACATGGGGAGACCCTTGGTGAATTCAGTGACTATAGCAAGGTCATGTTTATAGTAATATCCTAAATCCTCAATGTTCTGATGCCTCCTTGCACTAGTAGGAATTTCTGTCTTTCTCCAGGACTGAGGACAATCAGGAAAGGGTATAAGTACAAGCCCAAAGGCTCTGAGTCAGGCTCCAGAAGCAGGTGTCATATACATATTGTCCAAGAAGATGAGGTCATGTTGGAATATGGGGGTATCAAAGTCCCACTTCCAAGAGTAGAGATACCAAAATAAAATTTAAACTGATGTTCAGGCCACAACTAGAAATATACAAATTATGAAAGGAAAAATCTCATTGGTAAAGGCAAAATATACAGTAAAGGTAGTAAATTAATCACTTATAAGTCTAGTAGGAAGGTTAAAGAGTCATAAAATCATCTATATCTGTAATAAATATTTGAGATACACAAAATAAAAAGATGTAAAATATGATGTCAAAAACAGTAAACACATGTGTGGCAGGTTGTAAAAATGGAGGGTTAAAATGCATTTGAACTCAAGAGTTAGCAACTTAAATAATCATATATATATATAAAATATCGCTATATATAAACCTCATGGTAACCACAAACCAAAGATCTGTAATAGATACTCACACAAACAAGAGAAAGGAAACCAACATAACAATAAAGATAGTCATCAAACCACAGGGAAGAAAGCAAAAGAAGAAGAAAGAAACAACAACAACAAAAAAACCCTGCAAAAACAATCCCAGAACAATTAACAAATTGTACTTATTAACAAATTAGTAAGTACATAGCATGTGTTAAATTTATATTTCTACCTGTTTGCTGTCAGTATACGGAAATGCAGTTGATTTTTGCACATTGATCTTGTATTCATTGACTGTACAGAACTCATTTATTGGATCTAGGAGGTGTTTTTTTGTTTGTGTGTTTGTTTTTTGGGTTTTCTATCTGTATATTCTTGGGGATTTTCTATGTAGACAATCATGTCATCTGCAAACAGAGGCAGTTTTATTTTTTCCTTTTCAATTTGTATGCCATTTTCCCCCTTGTCTTATTGCAGTGGTTAGAACTGTCAGCATTATTATTATTTTTTAAATTAATTAATTAATTTATTTTTGGCTGCATTGGGTCTCCGTTGCTATGTGCAGGCTTTCTCTAGTTGTGGCGAGCGGGGGCTACTCTTAGTTGCAGTGCGTGGGCTTCTCATTGCAGTGGCTTCTCTTGTTGCGGAGCACAGGCTCTAGGTATGTGGGCTTCAGTAGTTGTGGCACGCAGGAAAGCCTACACTCAAGCAGCTGAACAGGGATTGAGAAAGATTATGTTTGTTTTCTCTTAAAATGCACCCAGTGATTTTCCATCTCACATTAGAGAAAGAGTACAAAGGTTTTCACAGTGTTCTATTAGACTACCAGTGTCATCTAGCTATCCAGATACACTTTTCTGACCTCATCTCCTAATGCTTTCCCCTCATGCTCTCAACTTCAGCCACAGGAACCTTCATGTTATTCTGTGAAAATGCTCGACACACTCTTGTCTCAGGGCCTGTGCACTGCCTGTTCCCTCTGCTTAGACTATTTCCCCCCTAGATAACCGTGTGGTCTATCCCTTCATTTTCTCACATGTCTGTTCATAGGGCACATTATCAGTGAGGCCTTGCCTGACTAACTCATATGGAATAGCAACTCTCTCCTCCATCTCCTTTACATTCTTTAAAAATAGCATTTATCAATATATGAAGTGTTATATATTTTGTTTACATTTTCTCTCCCCACTAGAATATAAGCTCCACAAGGGCAAAGACTTTCTCCTTTGTTTCCTGTTATATCATCCATGCCTAATAGTGCCTCCTACATGCAAATGCTCAACATCAGTGGAAAGAATGAATAATATCAGTGTTTGAGAGTTTAGCCTTATTGTACCCTCAATTCACTGACTTGGAAAAGGATTACACCTCAGCTATGTCAAACTCCATATGTTACTTCAGATGGCCCTATGCAGGGTGTCTCTGTTTTTTTCTTTCTACCTGGGAGGTGTTCTGTACCTAGACAGGAGAAGAAAGGACAGGACATATGAATTGCTGACAGAGACTAGTGTAGCACAAGAGAGTAGATTGGACTAGAGGCACAGATGTCAGGAGGTATTGCTGAAACCACTTCCTTTTCTCTACCCCCCAGGAAGCAAATATCTGGATACAGAACCAGTACACAACTTCTGTGTTTCTGAATAAAGCTTCTGTAGTTTCCCAGAAGGAACAAGGGCATTTCTGATTTGTGAGAGGCTGCGTGTGAAGGAGGAAGCTCAGGGACCCTGCAGCCGCTCTACTTCTTCCCTCTTCACTCTAACAAAAAGTAGTCATGATGATCTTGGAGCCAGGGTTTTTGTTGGGTCAGGACTGATAAATTTTGAAAACTGTCATCTAGAGACAGAAACCATGTGTTAGGAGAGGCATTAGTAACTGGGTAGATGGGATTTCCAGGGATGAGTTGTATCTTTTCCTAGGGAGATACTTCTGGATAGGTAATTATCATTGCTTTCCCTTCATGGAAAAATACTGATTAAAAACTTGATGCTAAATACAGTGTTTTTTTGTTTTTTTGTTTTGCGGTACACGAGCCTCTCACTGTTGT